AGGCCTGCGGCGCTGACACCCGAGTCGGGTAGCGCAAAAATGTAAACAAAGGGCCTCCGGCCCGCCACTTCGACCAAGCATCGAGTGTTGTACATTTTTTCGCTCATTTTCGTCAAAAACTCCCTGTGACGCCTAAATGGTTAAAGATAGAGCCAAACGGACGAAATTTTCGCCCGTAGAACTCTACTTTGATGAGTTATACCCCTTAGGAAACATTAAAAAAATATTTTTAAAAAACGTCATTTTGGGGACCTGTGGTTTTTGATTTTTTAAAAATTCAATTTTTGAGCGAGGATGCTCTTCTTCGAACTCGATCTGTCTTTTTATGATACAAAACGACCCTGAAAATCCCAGGTCGCTAGCTCAGTTCGTTCTCGAGTTATCGTGCGTACAGACAGACAGACAGACAGACAGACAGACGCGAAACTTTTTAAGCATCAGTGGAGTAATAGGCTTCGTTAATCGCTCAGCCAAAAATTTACCACAGTCAACTTGTAAACTTTCTACAACATGTTACTTGTAAAAAAAATTACCAAATCTTGAAAAATTACAAATTGTGGTAATATTACAAGGTGACACCTTGGCACTATCCCAAGTTATTTCGTGTTAAATCCCCCTCGACTTTTTTACAGTAAACTACCATGGTAATTTCTCATACTGAGCAGAAGGAAACAGATTAAACGGTAAGTTTGTTCTTTTTCACTCCCGTTTTCGATAGCCTGGGACACCCTATTCTCATTAGTCCGGTTCGTTTCGTTTCCTTTCGTTTCTTTTGTGGGTGAGGAAAAGTGAAGGGGTCTTCTTCCCCCCAACCCCCCACCCCCAAACCCACAAGAGAAACGAAAGGAAAGGAAACGAACCGGACTGATAAGAATAGGGTATTTCACCTGACGCAAACTGGATCCAAAGAAGAACAAGAGTTCTTCCTGAACCCTTTTCTCCCTTGCTCTGATTGGCTGACGCCGACGAAGTTCATGAACTGGCCGCAAGTGCGGTCGACCTCCAGTGTCGGCGGTCCGAGAACTTCGTCGGCATCGGCCAATGAGCGGCAAGGAGGAAACAGTTCAGGAAGAACTCTCGTTCTTCTTTGAATCCGGTTTGCATCAGGTGAAATTGCCTATTCGGACGGAGCCTATGGCAAGGACTAATCTGCCACCCATTTTGGAGCCAATCAGGGCCTCGGCGGCCTGCTGTGGTGCGGGGCGCGGCGCAAGTGCGTGTTTGTCGGGCACGTACTGCCAGTCAGTTTGACGTGGGGGCCGGGGACAACGCACGCTCAGGACGGGCGCCGCATGGATGTGTCAGATGCAACCCCCCACTTTTACGGGCATGATCGGTCGCGGCCTGAGACCGCTGGACGAACGTGGTGGACGCGGCCAGCCTACGCATGGGCGGGGGCAGCGTGGATAATGTGAAATATGCAAGAAAACCTTATCATTTTTCGAAAAACACTTCGAATAATGCGCTGTCGATGCCATCTCGTCCGGCCGCCGAGGCGACACCAGCGGCAGACTCCGGCGGTGGCGGACGCAGGAAGCAGCTGAGCCGGCAGTTGAGCGCGCACCGCTGTCCCGGTCGGTCGTGTCTGACGCGCGTGCCTGTGTCGCTCGTCGCTCGTCGCTGCGGTCCGTCGTTGGGCCTTGAGTCCGTGTTAATGCAACTTATTTATCGGTTTGACCGGCACATAACCGCGACTAAAGTGAGAAATCGATGCCGCTAAAGATGTTCGTCTGTGCACTACCTTGGTGTGACCTCTGCCGATCGGGACGCCCTTTTTGACCTTGCGGGTCCGGTTCGTCTGTGGAAGAGTCGAACCTGGACCTCTCCGTGTGCCCGTGTGTTGGTTTTACCTTTAGTGCAGTGCTAATGCAGCCGTAACGTACTCTCCGAGATGTGATCTACTGGCCTGTCACGACAACCTTCAGCGCCGACTCAGGATCATGGCGCCGCCCCTAGATGAAATTGCGACGTCACTTTTGCTTGTCTTTTGGTGAGTGCACATTTCTTATTCAACTTTGGCCCAGAGTTAATAGAGCATTCCGGTAAAGCTGAAATGAAGAAGAATGTGGGGGAGAAGGAAAAGGAAATCGCTATGCTTTAGCATGGTGACTTCCGTTTTCTTGTTCCTCGCATTCTTCTGCATTTTAGCTTTACCGGAATTCATTATTCAATGGACCCTTTAACATTATCAAAGTGAAGACAAATGTGAACAAGCAGGCCCGCCCTTCCGCTAGAGACGCCGTTTGGGCGGCCCGAGTGACCCAGCCTCTATATACGGATTATTTTTGGTGTAGAAATAGTAGCAGTCTTAGACACTGGTCCGTCAGACCCGCGCGGGTCCAGCGTGGCCCAGCGCTAGGCGATGTCGGGTCAGACGGGCCCGCTCGGGCCCGTCTGGCCCAGCATACTACTCGTTGGGTCAGGCGGCAGAACAGTAGACCCGTCCGCCACTACGACGTCTGCTGTCAATCGTGGGTGAGGGGCAGGGAGACGCGGGCTGAGGGGAAGACACTATGCAGGTCTGTGTCGGCTGGGCCGGTCTGGCCCATG